GCATTTGAACTCTTGCTGACCAGCTGCTACTGATATGACTGTGGGTGAGTTGGTGACTTTCGTATCAACAAGGATACTGATGCTTCATGAGCATGCTGGAACCATAAAGGATATGACATCTAAGAATCTTAAGTTCCTGGAACATAAGTACTCACTAAACATTACCTTTTTGTTGTTCACTTATTTATTCATTTATTAATTCATCATGGATTCAATAAATATTATTTCCTGTGCCAGACAGCACTAAAACAGACTGAATTTGGGGCTCCTCTGAAATTAAGAGCAACTTCTTTACCATGATCTAAGAATGGAAGCTGAAGGTCTGTCTCTCCTGAAGAAGCTGAGAATGGAGATTGTCCCCTCCCCAGGTGTGTCTAGCACAGGCTAAATCTGCACAGGTACATGTCCTGCCCTTGGTCTCACTTCCCTGCTGCTGCTTCTTTAAAAGCTTTCCTCTCCTTTTGAGATTTAAAAGATGGAACTTTTGAAATAAGTTTCCTCTACCTTCCTTTAAAGTTGTCTTTGAAGAAAACCTATTTTCCAATAAATTTGACTCTGAATATTTCTGGAGCAGTGAGTATTATTGTAGCCTAGCCTCTTCCCCAGCCTGGTAGCCCCAGCCATCTGTAGCACTAAAACAGAGCTGAGGGTAGAAGTTCACTAAAACACAATCACGACCCTTCAGATTCCTACTGCTTACTGGGGTAACAGAGAAGCAGATGGTCCTGCTGTGTGGAAAATGTGCTCTAAGAGGTTTTTGGAGGAAGTATGGGAGGACAGAAGAGGGTCACATAACCCCAAATTAGAAAGGAGTAGAAAAGATTTCCTGAAGGAGATGCTGCGTACACTGTAAGTTCACATACTTTGATGGTATGGAAACAGACTTAGGGGGAAGGCATGCTTACTGGCTGAGAATGTCAGAGGGCTTAGTTGTCGCAACCCCTTGCCCGCAAAGAAGACGCAACTCGGGAATCTTCTTTCAACAGTTTATTCAGGCCCTTGATATTTCTTCTTCTTCCTCTCGGATGCCCCTCCCAGCCTTAATAAAGCATCCCAAGCCCCAATGCAAAGCTGCCGCGTGGAGCTTTCTCACAGGGTGGTGAAAAATCATGTGCCAACTTTCCCAGATAAGGAGTTGTTTGTCACAGACCACAGCGGAGCCAGCGTCATCTTGTAATGGCGACCATAGTCTGCAGAAACGGCAGAAGCGGCTCACCACAGTTCCCCCTTTTCTGTTTTCTTAAAACAATACAGGCGAGAGTAGAGGTCCTATCCCACTGTGCAGAAGTGGCTGCATAGTATGACTCAGTCCTAAGGAGGCGCCTTCCCCAGATCTGAAGCCATATCAGCCGACGCCTTTTTTCGTGGGGCGGGGCGTGGACGCGTCTAACCCGCATGCAATAGGACATGCTCTCCTTGAGGTCCACGTCAAGGATCACTCAAGTGCAGTGCCTTGCCTCGCATCCTGTATCGTGACGATGGTGGACGAAGGGGGATAGCTGAGGCTGAACTGTGGCTGTTTATAATGACAAACAAGTTGACAGCACCCTGAAAGAAAGGCACGGACTTTAAGGCGATAGAAAAGCACTAGTGTGGAAACCCATCTGCGTGCAATGGCAGTAATACCGGCAGAGTGCAAGGGCTTTCCAACACTAAGAGAATAACAAGGAAAGTCATGTCGATCCCAGTGCAATGTTATAATAACTTGGGGTGTAACGACCATGACAAAGGTTTACTGCTTAAGATGCGCAAGCCAGACTTGAGGCGAGTTGCCATTTTCTAAAGCTGCAAGAGCTTGTATGATCATAGCCTTTTCTTGTGCATGGCGAGTTTTAAGGCGACAGAGAAGCCACAAACAAAGCACAACACTGAAGCAACACATTGCCCCAAAAATGCCCACTCCCACCCATTCCTTAAAAAAGGAAAAGGCAGAGGATAGCCAACTGGTGAATTGACCCAAAGTCACTGGTTCGACACGGGTGCTATTCAAAACAGCAATCTGAGTTAGTTGAGACTGGATCAAGTTTTCTGCTTCCATGGACCAGGTTCCGGATAGATACTCTCCGATGATGCGGAAGCCATTTCTGGAATTATTAAATCTGACAGAGGTTATACATAAATGTGCACGTTGATCAACACAACCCAAATGTACTAGGTCAGACAATTCCTCAACTTGAGCTTGAAGCAGATCTATCCTTTGATTAGCAGCCAGAATCCCAGAAAAAATGTGTTGATTAATTCTACTTTGAGATTCAAGTATGGTGGATGTTTGTTGAATAACCTGATTAATAGTGGCAGCAGTTTGTACCTGGCTGGCCATGGCTACTCCAGCTATAACTGCTGCAGCAGCAGATACCGCCACAGCTGTCATTATGGCTGCCGTAATTCCAAAATCTCTACGGGCTCTAATCAGTTCAACAATAGGAAATGACTCTGGATCTGCAGTAACCGGGATCGGGACAAAGGTTGGAAATTTCATAACCATTGCCGTAGTCCAGGAGCCATTCCAACACTCAGACAAATAACAGGTAATATTAGAACAATTAAGCATCCCCTGTAATGTAACATTAGCCAAAAGAAACAGGAACGGAGATTGGAGACGGACTGCTGCGGAGGGTAATGTAGCATTAGATAATTGTGAATTATTTGCAGAAATTTTAAGCCTCCTACCTCGCTCCGAGTCTTGGGTACTGCCAGAAACATTAAACAGCCAACTTTGGACTCCTAATATTTCCCTGGGGAAACACAAGCGCGGACTAGACTAGCCCAATCTAAGGGAGTCATGCAAAATCTAGTAAGTCCCTCCACCTGAGTGAGAGTGAAAGCGGCATCTATGCCATAAGTGCGGACAGATTCTGCCAAGGTTTTAATTATCTTAAAGTCTAAAGGCTCATGATATCTTCCCCTGTTATTGTCCTGAAATACAGGGTATGCAAGTCCCATATCTGTATTAACTGTCCTCCAAACTTGTGCATGAAAAGATCTCCCGGAACCTTGGCTTCCCCCCACATACGGAGGTGGGGCAATCGGCACCATATCTTCTTCTAGATATTCTACCTCCTCCTCCTCAGAGTTTTGTTGACCAATGTTAACTCCCTTCCCCTTCTTACAGTAGGCCTGTGTGCCCTGTGTCTCCTTTTTCTTCTTTTTCATTTTTATCTTATGTAGTTGTTGTAACAATATATCAAGGTCCTCAGAACTCTCTGAGTCGCTTGTGTTCTCAGGCGTTTTTAATTCGGTCAAGTCTGGGTAGAGCCTTCTCCTATTTTTATCTTCAGGCTCTTTTGCCTTCTCACTACTGTTACTTTTAATACTCTCTGCCACTTCACTACATGATCCTTCAGATTTTTCCTCATGCAGCTGCTCAAGAATAGCTTGACCCTCACTCACAGCTTCCTGGCATTTACCATCTGTTATACATCCTCTAACTAACTTCCAAAGTGGTATAATGCCACCCTGCAAGGTACCTTGCTCATGAGCGAAATCTAGATCTTTCCCTAATTTGTCCCAGCTGGGAACCGTAAGACTCCCTGAAAAAGCAAACCAAGGAGCCGCTATATCAGCTTCTCTTAAAAACATCTGCAAAGTACTCTGCTTTATCTTAAGTCCTTTTGAATGTAACAACCCATCTAGGGCCAACAAAATTGGGCTTGAAGAAGCAACGCCCATAATGTTTTTAGAGCTATAAAGAAAGTGAAAGTACAAAAGTCCCCGCTCTCTTCCTTTTACAGGGGAGCGTTCTGTTCTATGAATTCCCCGCTCTCTTCCTTTTACAGGGGAGCGTCCCTGTCGTCACAACAACAAAAGAAGCACAAAAAACAAAAGCGAAATGACACAACAACAAAAGAAACACAGAAAACAAAAGCGAAAGTAGAAGCGAAAGTACACAGTGCAGCTGCAATAAAATGTAATGCTCTCTCTTTCTTTACAGAGGAGCTGCCCCGCTTTGGTCGCGGATCCCACTTACCTGGGACTAACCCCGCTTTGATCGCGGATCCCACTTACCTGGGACTAACCGGTGCACCACCCCTGACTGCTGAAAATTCTGGTTCCCGGGTCTCGGCACCACTTGTCGCGACCCCTTGCCCACAAGGAAGACGCAACTAGGGAATCTTCTTTCAACAGTTTATTCAGGCCCTTGATATTTCTTCTTCTTCCTCTCGGATGCCCCTCCCAGCATTAATAAAGCATCCCAAGCCCCAATGCAAAGCTGCCGCGTGGAGCTTTCTCACAGGGTGGTGAAAAATCATGTGCCAACTTTCCCAGATAAGGAGTTGTTTGTCACAGACCACAGCGGAGCCAGCGTCATCTTGTAATGGCGACCATAGTCTGCAGAAACGGCAGAAGCGGCTCACCACACTTAGTGTGTTCAAAGATGTGCAGGGAATTCAAGGAACCATGAATGGATGCAGTTATGTAGAGATCTGCAGCTCCTGTTGGAGCCGTGGGCATATATCTGGTGGCAGTAGGAGATCAATATCATTCTTAGGAAATGTCATCCCCAGGAATGGAGCCCTGGAATGCATCCTCCTGTTGCCTCTGGCCAGTGTTCCTGCTCCCCCCCCATACTGCACTTGCTGGCACCAAGATACTGTCAGGAACTGAGGCAAGAAGGACAGAGAATGAAAGGGCATGAGGAGAGAATGATCTGATTTGCAGCAGCTTTACCACCTACTCTCCCTCTTCCTGTTGACTTCCAGCAAAGACATGAAGGTGTAAAAGTAAAAGAAGTTTACTCAAGTCTGGGTTTGTGTAGCTTTTCCTTTCTTTTTTTCCATACCCTTCTCCCGTCCTTATGCTGCTTCAAGACTTTCTGTTTCCCTTTCATGCTTAACCTGAGTTGAAGCTTTTTGCCTGGATACTGGGGACATTTAAGAATCCTCAAATCCTATTGGACAGTGGGTGCAGGGCAGCCACAGTTTAGCACCATCATTTTTAATCGGAGGGTCTAGTAGTTAAACAGTAGGGTCCAGTGGTTTCAGATATATATCATCAGCATTCTTCCCTTCATACTTATCCTTTGTGCTTAAAACAGTATGTCCAAGTGTGGGGATGTAGCTCAGTGCGATGGTGCTTGCCTATTGTGCATGAGGCCCTGGGTTCCATTCTCAGAACTGAAAAAAAAATCAAAAAAATACATAAAATATACTTAAGTAATAATAATTCTTTACAGTTTTATTAACTATTTAATATAATTAGAGCTTCAAATGAAAGATATGGTTTATACTAGGCTTTTCCGATATTGGAATGAGCTGTTGAATTTCCTTATGGACACTCTGTAAATTTATATTCTACAGGATGGACCTTGCTTCCTCCAGAATAAAATGAGATCATTTAAGATCTATCATTTAGTGAAGGTACAGTAGGTAGCCACTACAAATACAAAAAACAAAGCTGATATATTGGAATTTTTACAGGCTTCTTTGAAAAAAAATCAAAGTACTTTTAATAAATAAATTTTTAACAATATTGGTTCCATGGCAATGTCCTGAGAGTTTGTGAAACGACAGTGATACATTTGGAATGTTAGAAGGATGAGAGTGATGGAGTGAATTTCCTGAAGCTACATATTTCATGCATGCTCCTTTGGTTTCAATCTAAATCTAAAGAATGAGGCAGTTTGCAGGTGCTATAGCTGCTGGGAAGGAAGGTACTCTGAAGAGAAGCCACCTGGTTACTTGGCTCTGGAGTTCTCTTTCGAATCAGAACTTGGACTGGCTGCCTTTAAGGAGAACTGGTAGTGTAATAGTCCATCCTGGAGAATGTGGATTTACAGAAGTGTCCATATAGAGTAAGGAAATTCAACAGCTCATTCCAATATCTGAAAAGCCTAGTATAAATCATCTTTCATTAAAGCTCTTATTATATATGTTCTTTGTCTCTTGATTTCAAAGAATGAAATCCATGGATAAAAGGGTGAGAGCAATGTAACAGGATTTATTAGAGTAATGAGGAATAAAATTGATCAAATTATACAGTTTTATTTTGTGCATGTATGAATATATTATAACCCCCCCCCCCCCCAAATAAAATTGCTTGGTATAAAACGAAATCTGACACCATACTTCCTCTTCTCCATGTCCCACACCCAATTAAAATTCTTATTTCTAGGGCTGGAAATGGAAAGATATTTTCCATGGGGATATAGATTTTGCATCTCCAGTGGACACTTCTTGCAGGTAGATGTGTTTCTGGAGGGAATGGGGTTTCTGAAAGTCAGGGGATTGTTACCAGTATTGGCCCTGCCAGCCTTAGGGTCTAGGTTGGGCATATGGCTCTGGATGGAGGAGACTAGGGCTTGGCTTCTGCCTTTACTCCAATGTTCCCTTCATCACTGGATTTCTGCTCCTCTCTTGGGAATTTGGGTTCCTTCCTACCTCTAATGTACTCCTCTATTTCATTGTCTCTTTATTTTACTTTATTTTTATGTGGTGCCGAGGATGGAGCCCAGTGCCTCACAAACTGCTAGGCTAGCACTCTCAGTGAGCCACAACCCCAGCCCCCTCATTGTCGCTCATGTTTCACTTACTGGTCACTTGTAGGTTTTTCTCATAACCCCAAACAAGTCTTCCTTCTCCATCAGTTCTGGTTCATTCTTTTCTTTTAAACTTGTTCAAGATCATCTCTTGTAGGAGAGTTTCTATGCGTTTAACCTGAATTCATTCAGCATAATTCCCTCAATTTATGGCTATTCCTCATAGCCTATGAGCCATGTGGGTACTGGCCACCTGAGCTGCTGTGGTGGGTACTGGCCACCTGACTAGATCTGCATTAGGTTGAGCTGGTTTCCCAAGAAGAGAGACCATGGTTCCTTTTGCTGGATGGGTAGGGCCTGTGCTTTCCTTGTTATCTTGAGAGATACCTGATGGCAAAGCCCACAGAATCTTCCATAGTCTTCCATCAGACTGCCAGAAAACACTGTGTTGCTCATCATCTTAACTGCATGTGAAATTCTGACTATCTTCTAAGGATGAGGAAGCCCCATGCCCGCCATCATGGTTTCTTTCTTCATTGGTGTAGGAGAAAGCCTGAGTGGGGGGAGGGTTTCCGTGTGTGTGTGTGTGTGTGTGTGTGTGTGTGTGTTGGATATGAATATATATGATACAGGCATTTTCTCTGAAGAATTTGACTCTTATCTGATGAAACAACGCAACCTCCTCCCAGCCTTAGTCTCCCTAAGGACAAATCTTGAAAATTCTCATAAAATGAACTGCCTCAAGACCAAAGCGACTGTCTACTGGGCATTTCCATCTGTAGGTTCTGGGCTAAACCTTTTTCCCCTTCCAAAGCCACTCAGTGCCTGGCTTGAGTTCTCCCCAGACTCCCCAGGAGCCTCCTGGCTGCCTCCTTCACTTCCTTATTCCGGAGAGTGTAGATGAGCGGGTTGAGGGCAGGGGTGACCACAGTGTAGAAGAGCGACACGAATTTGCCCCGCCCCTGGTTGTAGCTGTGCGTGGGCTGCAGGTAGGTATAGATAGCAGAACCATAGAACAGACAGACGGCTGTCAGGTGGGAGCCACACGTACCCACAGCTTTCCTCCGGCCTCCGCTGGACCGCATGCTCCATATGGCGTGGCCCACAGCGCCATAGGAGGCCAGGATGACGGTGGATGGCACCAGCAGTATAACCACGCGGGCGGCAAACATCTGGCGCTCGATGGTGTCTCTGCCGCCGCTGCAGGCCAGCTTGAGCAGCGCGGGGAGCTCGCAGATGAAGTGGTCCAGCTGGAGGGGCGCGCAGAGCGGCCTCGCGGCCAAGAGCGCGGTTTGGGCAGCGGAGTTGGTGAGACCGCCCAGCCAGGAGGTGCAGGCCAGCGCGCGGCAGAGGCGAGGCGAGGCGAGACCCGCGTAGCGCAGCGGGTGGCACACGGCGGCCGCGCGGTCCAGCGCCATCACCGCCAGCAGGACGCACTCAGAAGATCCCAGGGCCAGCGACGCGCACAGCTGCGCCATGCAGCCGCCGCGGGGCAGCCTGAGCGCGGATCCCCGCAGGTTGGTCAGCAGTGGGGGTACCACGCTGGTGGTGAAGCCGGCATCCACCAGGGCCAGGTGGCAAAGGAAGTAGTACATGGGCGTGTGCAGACGCGGGTCGCGCATGACCAGCAGCACTAGCGCACAGTTGCCAGTTAGAGTGAGCAGGTAGCAGAGGAGCACAAGGGCGAACAGGACTGGCTGCAGGGAGGGCCAATCAGAGAATCCCAGCAGGAGGAAGCGCTCCTCTGTGCTGCGGTTGGCCTAAAAGGAAAACTCCAAGAATATTTGGAAGGACGGAATAAAGGATGACACTATTTTACAAGTAAAGGAAAACCCGGGATGTGGGACTGGGGAAGAGCTGAAAGCACACAATAGTACCTATAATACTTTATGGATGGTAGTCCCATTTACAGACCTGAACCCTTAGTTTAGTTGCCACGTGCCAGCATTCCTTGTTTTATATATTTACAGCATCCTCTGGGGGAGCTAAAACGTCTATTTTATGAATGTACAAATGTGGGCTCAGAAATGCTCATTAAGTTGTCCTAGGGTTATATTGAGTCAGTGGCCTTGGGTGACTTGTACTCAGTCCTGTCTGATTTCCAACTCAGTGGTATTTTCAGCTGCCTCCCTAGTTCTGGTTGCACTCCCAAGGACCAAGGAAGAAATCTGATCTTCCTTCTACATCAAAGCCCTTCACATTTGTGAAGACAGATTTCATCCTGAGCCTCCCTTTCCCTCTTTCCTGGTAATTGTATAATCCCTAAAAATTAGGACGCTATCCCATGCTTGCCCGAACTAAGAATTTATAGATCAGAATTATCACCTTCCTTGTTTTAGGTACTTCACGTTTATGGAGCTGGGGCCAGCTCCTAACAGCAGACAAAGGCTGTTCGATCTTGTTTGACTTGTGAACACAAGTGAGACTTCATTAAGCTATTTCTTGTAAATACCTAAAGAAAAAGAGAACTCAAATCCAATTACTTAGAACCAGAGAGCAGATTTATATACCTAGGCTCTTTACAATAGGACAGATTTACTTCTCTGTTTGCCCTATTAAACTCTCCCTCTTGTGTTGCCTCTTTTGACTTTACTGAACTACTTCTGGACTGGAGCTGCTTTAATCATGAATAGCTGTTGAAATAAACTTTAAAATGTTCTTGTCCTCAGTTTACTTTATTTCTGGTGGTGCTGGGGATGGAACCCAGGGCCTTGTGCATGAACTGTGTGCCCAGTTCATCAGTCTACTTTTTAACACAACCCATGATTCTGCTGACAAGTGTTTTTAATAAAGTCTGCTTTACAGTGTCCCTGCCCCTCTTGCCGCAGAACCTGCATGTTAGCCTTGAAACCAAGGTTCAGTCTGTGGAGGAAAGAACACTTTTTGGTAGACCAGAAATTGGGAAACCTTAGTCCTACCTACCATAGCTTCCTCTGGATGATTATTTGATATGGGGAAGTCACTTCATATCCCTCTGCTTCAATTTTATCACCTGTAAATTCAGGAGTTTGAACTAGATGACCTTTTAGGTTTCTGTCCTATCCTGAAGCTTTATTATCAAGCATTTCTCAAAGTAATGGAAAGGGAATGTGGGGAACAAAGGGATGTCCTCTCAAGGGCATTTTGATCCTTGAGAATGATGTCGAATTAAATATCCTAATGGTGCAGAAATGATCATGATTAATGAAATTTCCAAAGAAATCTTTCTACTGCAGGTTTCCTGGCACATATTATGATTTAAATAAATTTGAAAAAAATTTTTGGTGGTGCTACTAGGAATTGACTTCAGGCCTTCACATATGCCGCCACTGAGCTACATCCCAAGCCCTAGATAACTTAATAAAATATCACATTCACTGCTTATAATTTAAAAATCATAATCGTCTTATTTTTTACTTTTTAGGAAAAGAATTCATTTTCCCCAACAAAACATCTTGCTTATATGGTCCTCTCATTTTAGGCTCATTAGACAGAACAAATATTAATGTTGTGAGTAAAAACAAGGGCTCAGGAGCTAGATTGCCTGGTTTTAAGTCTTGATTCTGCTGTTTCCTAGCTGAATAACCTTGGACATGTTATTTAACCTCTGTACCTCCCCGCTCTCCTCCACCCCCATTTTCTTATTGAAAAAAAGTAGTGGGTGAAATAAGTTAAATAAAAAAAATACTTAATATAGTGCCTGGCACATATTAGGATTTATCAAATGTTAATGAGTATTATTATTTTACAAATCAGGAAATAAATTTCTTTGTTTTGGGGCCTCAGACTTGTGAAGCACATATTTTAATACTGAATTACACCCTCCAACCAAGAAACAACTTTTTAAAGGATTACCTCATTATATGGTTACAGAACTGATATTAAAATTCCATTTTCCTTTTATATATTAACTCTACTTTTCGTTTATTTGAAAAATAGACTACAGTCTTATTTTATAGAAGATAGGAAGGTAATCAAAATTAAATAACTTATCCAAGGTCACATTGTTTATAAATGTAAAATAGGATTTTGACTATGATCTGACTAACACCAAGGTCTTTGCCTTTTTTAAAAATTATGCAAAGGTGTGAACTCTATTTTTAGATAGTTTACAGAACTGGATCATACTGGGAATGGGTGAAGTATAGGACGTTACTTTTCAGGTTTCCGAGTCAATGGTGGCTAGAAATGTTGAGTTACAAAAAGTCAAATTCGTTAGAATTTTGATTACATAGCCACGCACTAGTTTAGTTAGGTAAGTCCTAAACTGCTCCTCTCCAAATATTTCACACGATGAACACAGGCACACACTCATAAAATTGCACAGATAACATCCTTATTATATGTATGCACAAATTCCCAAATACAAAGCTCTTAACACTTGTGTACACACAAATGCTTACACATACACAGCATCATTCCTCTTATGTACTCAGAATGCAAATTGTAAAATACATTGTATAACTTACCTGTAAAGCTCACTTGGCTTTCTAGAATATGTCTCTAAGCTGCAAAACCTTTTTTCCCCCACGGCAATGTAATAACAACTTACCTTCATGTCTAAACTCTGGCCCCAATATTTAGACCTTGAGTTTTCAGATTATACTTTGGTCTCTTATGCCTGGGTTTGAAATGAAAATGAAAGATTAACAAAAGACCCACTTGTATGATTCTGTAGATTTTTGAAATGAGTGCCTGAGGTGACAGCTAGGCACCTCAGGAAGGAGACAGGAGATGGGTGTCATCTTGCCTGTGAACAGAGGAACGTATAGAAAATCTGGAAAGAAGGCACCTAACTCTGTGAAACGTGGACCCGGGGCAGAGGTGGTGATGTCTGTTAGTGCAGAGCCCTGTGGTGGGGTACAGACAGGGCAAGGATTTGTGGTGGCAGCCAATCAGCATTAGCTGGTGGTAGTGGTGACAAAATTCCTAAGGAATATAGAAGTTGGAGCAAGAGGAGGATGTTGATGAGTTCTCACTAGGGGGGAAACAGGGGACTCAGCTTTACCTGTTATTTAGAAGAGATGCCAGAGCTCTGGGGAATCTGCATCCTACTCTCATCATTAGTGCTTTCATGGAGGTGTCCAGAGAGAAGTCCCCCAGGGTCAGGAAGGGGAAATTCTGCAGAGAAAGTCCCTTCAGGGTACTATGTCTCTGGCAGGGTGTTGAGGCCAGAGGCAGCATAACTTCCTTTTAAGTTTTAACTAGTTTTTTTCGTTCTCTGACAAAGTGACTTTAAACTGGCCACTTATCTTCAGTGATTTTCAGGCTCATCATCTATAAACCATGGAGAACAATGCTGACCTGCTAGAGATGTAGATTTGTTGCAATCATTCTCAGTTTTGAGTACAGCTGTGACTTATGTCTTCAACTTTTGCCTGCCACCCTCCTTGATGCTCTCACCTACCTTTCATCCCCTTCACTGTATTTATCTGGTCTCATTCTCTTTTACATTGTCTCCAGCAAGGCTTCCATACTGAAACTACATTTATTAATAGTTGCAAACGACCTCTGCATTGTTACACCCAGTGGTTAGATTTTTGTTCTAATATCTCATATCCTGAAAAAATCAGGACCATGTGATAGAGCAGGTCTTTCCTTTTTGGAACACAGTTTCTACTTGGGTTCAGCAATGGTGAAGCAGAGGCTGGCTATCTGGTGAGGGCCTTTACTCTCTGGCATTTCATGATGGAAAGCAAAAAGGGCAAGAGATGAACATGAGAGAGCAAGAGGGGTCCAAATTCAGTTTGTAACAACCCACTCTTCTCACTCACTTCTGCAGTAATAACATTAATCCATTCATAAAGTCACAATCCTCATGACCCATCACCTCTTATTAAACCCCACTTCCTAACATGGTTGCATTGAGGATTAAGTTTACAATACATGCTTTTGCGGAGAACATACTGAAACCATAGTACCCCATTTGTAATCTTAGTATAATGCCTGCCTTAATGCAAAGTTGCTGGGAGGATTGGAGATGATGTATGCAAAACTCTTGACACATAGTAGGACATAGGAAAACTCTTCAGCAAGAGTTGTGCTTCTGTATACTTCTATCATCCATGTTCAGTGTAAATTTCCTGACAACTTTACAAAGTCAGGAAACACTAAACATTCTCATTCCAATAAAATATTTGCTCATTTTTTTCTATTTTTTTAATGTTGCACTGTATATATAGCTTTCAGCACCAAGAATATCTAAAATTCTATGCTTGCCTGAGGTCAAAGGACCAGGCTTACCAAGCATACCTGTTTAAGCTCTTGGGTATTTGATCAGACTTGCCGTTTTATGTCTTGATTACTATTAAATCACTAGGCATCCCCTCTTTTCCTTAAACACGCTAAACTCATACTAAACATGTACTATCTGTTTTTCTTCCTGGAATAATTTTCCCCTTTACTTGTCAAGGACTGTCCCCTTCTTACTTTTTAGAATACATCTCAAATAGGAGTGGAGGCTCAATCCTGGCTTAGGAGGGGATAAGAAGAAATCAAGCAGAAAAGTCATGGCAGGAAGGATCTGCAGGTGAGAAATGCTTGTGGATATTGGGAGGTACATGTGGACCCTGTGTATGTTTCCTGTGTATGTTAGCTTAGGGTATTGCCAAGCCCAAAGGGAATTAGCAATAAATATTACAATGAGAGAAAACCCATTAAATTATAGGACACTACAG